GCGCGGCGCAGGCGCCCCGCCCTCCTCCGTCCACCCCCGCCGCTATCACCCTGCCCTTTGTGCTCTGCTTTGCTGTGGCAGCAGCAAATGGTGCGATGTGGCCTCTGCAGCAGCCTGTTCTGCTCCCCCATGTGATGCAGGGCTCAGAGGGAGCAGGCCAGGGCTGGGGCACTCCACTTCCCACTGCCACAAAGCAGGGCAACCTGAGTGGGAGAGGGCGCTAGAGCAGAGCAAGCTCCTGGTTCATTTTCCTTCTCATGGCTCCCACCACTGTGATGGGGGGGGGAGACCCCTGCTTTTGCTGCTGCCACATGCGAGGCCTCCCAGGTAATCCCCTGGGTTGCATCTCTCGAGGTTGAGGGGCTTCAGGGAAGGGGTGCAATTGAGTGGAGCAGCGGTGGGAAGAGTCAGGGTCTGTGGTGGGGGTCCTGCACCTTCCTAGGGATGGCCATGCCCACATCAAACCTTGTTCCCAAACTCAGAACCCCACCTCTCCCATTGAGCCCCAACTGCCTTTACTTGGACCCCCCTGCAGATTCTCATTTCTACTGTATGCGGTAGAGTCCCTGTGCATCCAGACCCCTGTGCACCTGGGCTATCTAGTGAGTTGCCTACAGCTAGATATCCCCATATAGAACCCTCTCACCCCACACCTGGATTCCTCCAGCACTAAGCCCCTTTACACTTGGCTCTGAGCAGCCTGAACCTGCCTGCCCCACACCTGGATCTGGGACGGCGGCTGGGTGTGCTTGCAAGGCTGTGCTTGCTTTCTATTTTGGTGCACCTGGCATTGAGAGGCAGGTCCCTGGATGTTTCTGGGGCAGGCTCAGCCCTTGCCCTATTGCAGTCTCAACATGAAGTCTGTGTCCTGGGGTGGGAGAGGGAAGGAACATGTTTCAAGGTGATCTCCCACTTCCATTCAGTAAGTTTCTTCTGCTCCCCACTATCTTGTGAGAGCCTCAGCATTCATTTATTGACAAAACTAAGGAGAATTTTGCAGAAATGTTTTGACACAGTATTCCATCTGTAAAATAGTATATACTGCATGAATCTAAAATATTACCCATGTTGTCTCCATCTTACTGAATTTAAATCCATATAGCTAGCTATTTCCTGGCAATCTGAGTTGTGTTACATACCAGGCAGCATGACCCCTGCTACTGCTTATCCCTACATCTGTGGTCCCCAAACCTTTTACCGCATGTCCCTGTCTTTCCCCATTCCTCCGGAGCCAGGGCCAGGGGATATGGACAGGAGTAAGGAGGCTGGTGACCAGTGGCTCTGGCCAGGAGTGGAGTGGGAGGGTACTCCTTCCCTCCCCACTGTGGGGGGCTGTCTCAAACCCCGGCTGTGCCTTTTTACTACACTCATTGCTACCTTCTGTTCCCTGGATATACCTCTGGCTTGCACACTCTTGTCTTCACTGTTCCTCATATTTTACTCCTCCTACCTTTCTGCTATATTTTTTCCTCATCTTCCCTTCCCCCCCCCAAAACGGTGTCTTTGTAGCCCATCCCATGTGATGCTGCTTCCTGCAGTGTGTTTTTTCCAGTTGCCCTCTGCCAATTCTCCCCTCTGTGAAATTTCACTACTCCTCTCTCTTGCCATTCTCCATCTTATTTTTCCTTTTACCCCTAAATACAGGGATGAGGAGCTGAGTTGATCTTGCTATATATATTCTGCTTTGGTCATTTTGAGTTTATTTTCAGAGAGAGTCTGTGTACTAATGATGATGTAATTTCTGATTTAGATTCTAATTGAGCCAAAATCTCAGTTGAATTCTGAGCTGTTTTTCTGGCTACATGACAAATGAAGTGAATGACTTGCATTTTTATGTCAATTTTTTATATCTTCCTATTTGTCCATTATAGCTGTAGGCACCCAGCCAGTGCTCTACATCTATGCTCTATAATAATAAAAACTGCAGTGCCCCTTAATATGCCTTTGGGGGTGGAAATGGGTTTTGCAGGAGGCCTAGAAAGTTAACACCTCTGGCTTCTGATGCACCCAGTAGAAATGGGGTACAAGGTTCAAAACTGTGGATCCCTCGCAGAGAACACCCTGTCCACAGTCGTCATTTATGTTGAGGCCTTCAGCTCGAAGGTCTCTGCTGATCTCAAGCATAATAGTATGGCTCAGGGAGACAGTAACCAGGTCCCAAACCATTTAAGGCTTCATAGATTAAAACCACATTTTGAATTCCACCTGGAAGTTTATTGGGAGCCAATGCAGATCCTGAAGCACTGGCCACATGTGCTCTAAAGCAGAATTGCATTTTAGTAAGTGGGTCATAGCATTTTTCATTAGCTTCAGTTTGTTGGTTCCATGCTGTGTAGCCTTTTACAGAGTATATCACAGCAATGTAATCTCACAGTAACAAAGGCTTGTTTAGCTATTTCATCTATTTTTTCATAAATGTCTGTAAATATTGTATCATTTTTGTTGAATAATACAGAGCTATCAAAATTAGCCAAAGTATATAACACAGACTTATTAGATTTGGTTACATAAAGTAAACAGGTGGTCCATACCTAAATGTCTAGAACAGGGTAATGAAACAGCAGAATTTGTCTGTATCTAGGACACAGAAAATGCTTATCAAAGACTGGTATATTAGACAATTATTGCTAATTAAATCTGCAAAGTTAGTGATACTTAGAAAAAACTAAGGAGTTTATTAATGGCTAACAAATCAGGACAAATATTTTTATGATATTGGGCATACATGTGGATATGTTTCCTAAATTTCTTCTAGCTGTTCACAGCTTTCATTCATTATAATGTTTGTGCAGCTCACTTTTTTTCCCATCTTGCATTTTGCTAACTCTTCTCTTATAATACTAATTCCTACCACCAGGGTTCAGAGAATCAAATTTGTATTGAAAATATAACAAAGGAGTTTAGATGCTCTTTTGTTGTGAGTATTTATTACTTTCAGAAAAGGAGTTCTCCCTTAGTAAATATAATCTTTTAAATCTTTTTTTTATATATACAGTTCTACATGAACATTACTTTTTTGAAAGGAAAAAATTGATCCATATACACACGTTGATGTCATAGAATGAATCAGAGTCGCAATGGTTTGAACTAGCTTGGTTACAATGCTAGAGATAAACCAGATGTAAATATACACATTTGTTAATCACTAATACAGTTCTAAATTCTAAAGCAGATTGAATATTGATTTGTTCATTTCAAAAGAGACTTGTCTTTGTACTATCTCATGAAACACTGTTAGAGAGATTTTTGTCTTTGGTGTTAATACAAATATTCTCTAAGAATTAATAGTCAAAGTCCTGCATATTCTGTGACAAGGTGGCAAGATAATTTAATTTTGCTGGCATTCTGGTGCAACAGATTAGAAAATCTGCAGTGGTTTTTAGAGAAATAAATGACATAGTACGATAGTCTTGTCTATTCTGATAGTCTATTTAATTTCCCGCTGTCCTCCCTTTTTCAGATTTCAGTTTACTGTAGATTTTTATTTTGAAAAACTATAACATGGAAGCTGGAGATTTTAATATTGAACAACTGATTGTGGCATCTATGTAGGATTTTGGGATAAATACATTAGTTGGATGTTTTTGCTAAAATTATCAGCATTTAATGTTAACATTTAATTATAATTTTTAGGTTTCAGAGTTGGCACACCAGTACAATTAAGGCAATTCATACTGCTCATTCAGGTTTTGTAGACAGCAAGAAAACACTGCACTGCTGTAATGTCAGTTCATATTTTTAAAGTTTTCTTCATAACTGTAACAGCCAGAAATAATTGTTTTCATGTGTTGTCATAATCTCATTACGTTGGTACAAGTGCTGCTAATTAACATCTACTGGGGGAGTCGGAGATTATACTGACTTCTGTTGATTGTGGTAAGGGGTGTATAATGCTGTCTGACACTTTAGAACTGCATAATTCTACACCAGTAATAGGGTAATTCCATATTTTTCTAATGTTAAAGCAGAAATAATTTAAAACGTATCAGAAAACTATACCTGAAAACTTACCACTATTTTGTATTTTTCTCTCCTCTCTCTTTTTGTGTGTGTGTGTGTGTGTGTGTGTGTAACCCCTCATCGTGCTCTCCCACTCCTGAACCTTTCCAGTCATCCTACAGGAGCATCGCGCTCTCCCACTCCTGAACCTTTCCAGTCATCCTACAGGAGGATCCTTTATCCGCCCAAACAAGGCAGATTTTGGAGTGGATTTTCTTACTGCAGTAAAGAACCGCTATGGATTGAATGATGAGGAAGATGTTGAGTGTGAGAAAGAAAATGCATTAGTCATTGGAAAGAAGACTGTGGAACTTATTGGTTTTGACTCCATTATAGAACAACAACGGCAAGTGTATTTTATATATGTAAATTTGCATTATATTATGGAGGTATTGGTATTGACTCCATAGTTTAACGGTGAGTTGAACTTTGTCCATCGGAAATTCAACTTTGTTATACAGTATATGAAAACTTGTGTAGCCTCCTCAAAAATGAAACATTCGTTGAGGTTTTTTCCTGAGAATTTACAAATGAATATGTTAAGTTTATGAATTACAATTAATTGTTTCCTTTAAGATTTATAGTACCTAGTGTCAGATATTTTTTGCCTTCAGTAGTCTCAGTAACAGTATACGAGACTCATCAAGCCTTCCAAAACGTTAAAACTCACTGAAATCTTGTGCATTTGAATTATCTGTAGAATTAAAAGTTTTACTCCAGCAATTTTTCATAACTGAAAATTTAATCCAGTCTGAGAGTTTGTGAACCATTGCACTGAGTTAAGATTTCTGACAAATGAGAAACATTCCCTTATTGAGAATAATGGGAGGGGAGAAGAGGGGGAATGATCATTAAACCTAAAAAAAAAACCCCCACATATAGCTTGTGCACAAAATTTTAGGGAGTTTTTACTGTTTGGGAAGTTGAAAGATCTCTGACCGTGCAAACAGTTAAGATTAGATTGGAGTCTCCTAATTGTGTATTTCCATAGTTTAACATGTTTGGGATTAGGGAGCTAAATTGAACCGTAACTGAATTCTCTGGGTCGATAACACTTGGTTTTTTGAGAATTGAAGCATGTTTGTAACATATTTCACCCTGAATTACTTGATCAGCATTAACAGTATTTTAACAGAGTTGTTGTCTGGGAATTATAACATGATTTTGTATTAGCTATTATCAGACTCTGGGGAGTGGATGACTTGAGCCAGAAGCATAGCTTTTGGGCATATGTTTTTTAAAAAGTTATGAGAGTAAACTTTTCATTAAACATTTATATTTAGTTTTTTTTTTCTGGAACTTTTGGGGGGCAGAGATGGGGATTTAAACATTTGTCTAGCATTGTGAACTCAAATTCAACCGCTTCATGCAAGTATAAAAACCAGAAAGTGAAATGATCTGGAGACATAAGCTAAAACTCATTAGTTTCGGTGTTCCGGTTGAACTAAATGCAACCCCATCTCCCAAAAAATCCCCATGATGAAAAGTAAATCAGATGTCATGTTTAGTTAATACAAGATGTTTAGTAGCACAGCCCAAGAATTTCTTTTAATGGCTATCTTGACAATGCTACTTTTTAAGATTATACATCCAAAAGGGAAGAAGTTGACCTCCCTAACTTCTCTATTATGTACATGTATTGTGCATTTCTTTCCAGTAGTAAACCTTATACAGGCTTAGATTTAATATGGCAGTTGATTATTTGTATATAAATTAGTGATGTTAAATTTAGATTAATCCAGTAATCAAATAGTTGATGGAATTTCCATCAACTACTCGATTAGTTGATAAAGGCAGGGCGCCTCTGCCTTTGAAATGTAGCAAGAGCCCCACTGGCTCTTGCTACATTTCAAAGGTAGAAGTGCTGTGGAGAGCATGGGGCCAGTGGGGATCTCAAGCAGTCCCCTATTGGCCCCGGTCTTCCTGCTTTTGAGACATACAAGAACCCCATGGGGCTCTTGCTACATTTCAAAAGCAGAAGCGTTGTGGGAAGTACAGGGTCAGTGGGGGACTGCTTGAGTCAGATCTCAAAAATTAAATGGGATTGTGCTTTGTTGGGGGAGAGCCACAAAACTTATTAATATAGCACCACAGTTGGCATTGTTTTATAGACTGATCAGTTATGATCTCAGTTCCTAGGTGCTCACAGTCTGACTTCAGACAAGAAAAGGTGATGACAGTCATTTGGGGGCTAGAGTAAAGGAATGTAGTTTCTCATGAGAAGTATTTGTCATACACCATAATGGTTCCATTTAAATAAATTTGTTAATGTTTTATGACTTATATGATTTGTTAGTGTTTTAATGTCTGTATCATCTCAGCTCAGTGGTAACTACATTCTGCGAATAAAAAAAATCAATAGTAGAAAACCCACAGTAACAGTAGTTAATAAATTGTCTTCCCCAAAGCTAGGGATGTGAATGTGTATACAGTTAACCAAGGAGCTTTGGCGTATCAGTTAACCCTCATGGTTACATGCATACTAGCCTTTACCCCACCACGCAGCCTCTGTATCAGAGGCAGCAGCATAGGGTGAGGCAGGAGCCTGGTGCATATGGGAAGCTAGCTTCTGTGGAGCTCCCTACTCCCCCCATGCTGCTGCCTCCCACAGAGGAAGCAGCACATGGTGGGTGGGGGGACAGGTGGGAGCTAGAGCTCATGGGGAGCTGTCCTAAATGCCAGATCCCACCTTCTCCATGTCCCTCCCCTCCCACCCCCCACGTGTAAATGTGTAACTGCTGAAAATGTCTTCATGAATTTGGGTGGTCTTCCCTTGTAAGCTGATACTGAATCAATTCTCTCCCTCCCACACATGTCATTCATTAGTCTACTGAGCAGTTAAAAATACCATTTTTTCCCCCAGAAGAGACTTAAAAGCAAATGTACTGATCATTTATAATTATTAAAATTCCTGGAGCATATTTTTTACGATCCTGGATGACCTCCCCAAATTCCAAATTAGGTTACTAAATTTTGCCTACTTAAATTACTCTGTGTGGTTTAAATTGGATAGAGTCATTTATCTTTGCTGCTCTTACAAATTGTTCTGTTGTGCTGCTGTAGGCTATTACATGAGAGCTTTTCTGTGATTTAGATGATGATGATACCACTCTCTGCTAGCAGAGTTCAAATAGTAATAATTGTAAAAAGGATAAAAGGATGTGAAATGCATAGTGCTTAGATTTAATATGTAGGTGCTTTTATACAATATATAATCTGCCGTTTTTCTCTGTGTATAAATTAACATTTTTTTCATGTAGTCAGCTGAACAAACTGGTAGACATATCTGTGAGAGAATGTGCTGTGAGCCATGCTGGTCAGAAAGAGGAAATTAGCACAACGTGTCCGAGTATCCTTTTCTAAATGTATTGAATTATATCGGGGTGGGCAGTAATTTTCACAAGGGGGGCCATTTAATGAATTTTGATACGTAATCACGGACTGACTCCACCCTCCCTTTAGGGGAACAGTGTAGGGTGGAAGGGGCGTGGCTTTGACTAGTCTCCTCCCAGTGTGGTCTGGGGCCAGTGCCTTTGAATTAAAACACAGCAAAGGGCTCATGGCTTCCAGCCCCACCACTACCACATTGTCTGGCAGCTGCCCAGGGTTGCTCATGGTTCTGGCCCCTGCCAGGGTAGTACCACGGCTGTGAGCCATTTAAAAAGGATCCTGCTGCCACCTGGCAGTTTGGTGACATGGGAAGCAGGATATACATAGAAAGTGGCCAGATGCAGTCTGTGGACCAAATCTGGCCCACAGGCCGTATTTTGCCCAGCCCTGAATTATATGCTGCTATTTATATTAGGGATGTTAAGTATCAGTTAATTAACTTATCCTGGTGGGCTTTTACTACATTTAAAGTGCAGCGCCTACCATGCAGATGGTGCTTTTAAGAGGCAGCAGGGTGGGGGAGTGACTAGTCGAGTACTCACTTGACTAGTTACTTACCTCCCTAATTTACATAAATCAAACACACACCTCAAGCATTCCATGTGTATTCTGCAGACAAAAAGGGATTAAATGTACATATTTGCAGAGGTAATTTTCAAATATGTTTGTCTTTATTAAATTTAGGGGCTTAATTCAGTCGGTCTTCGAACTAGCTTTTGAATGGTAGCAATTCCAAATTAATGGGCACAAGTACATTCTTTTTAAAAAAAATCTTATTTGGGTAACTACTATTTTTTATCAGATGCTGCATTTATTGGAGCAGTATTAAAAATTAGTGTAGCTCTGGCCATAAAAACTGCTGCTGTTACTTGGAGAAGCATTTTATTCATGGGCATCAGGCTGTGAATATATAATCCATAATAATACATCTCATTTGTTACATATTGTGGTTATCTTTCCAAAATACATAGCAAGAGTTATGTAATGTGGTAAATTAGCAAATAAGAATTGTATATTCTTTACTCAAGACAGACTCTCTTCTGGATCTGTAGAATTGAGATGTTTTATAAATCTTGGAACTTTCTGTATCAGATTCCAAGATACAAACTAGAAGTAACTGAGTAATAGTGCCTTAATCTTAGTCCAGACAGATTTACTTTGCTATATTTTGGTTCAAGAACACAACAGTTGTAAAGTTATACCTCTGGTCTTTGAAAAAGAGTTCAGAATTCTGATACATTTTTCTTAAAGTGAATTTTCAGATATAAGGACTATAAATCTGTCAAAAAATCTGTTGCCATCCTGGGAGAAAGTAACAGATATTGCTTGTCAGGTTCAGAATCTGGAAAGTCTGGATCTCAGGTATATATAGGAATATATTTTTTGTTTCATAATTTTTCTGCATGGTTTTGTTTTTATTTTTTTGTCAATTATCTAATATTTTCCTGCATGTATACCATCTTCCAGTAGTATGTCACGTCAAGGAAAAAATTGATTCCCAAGGACACTTATGATCATGTGAAACCAAGTTCTCCAAAAAGTGTTTAGGGTAGACCATTTTGTCTTCAAATCTCAAAGTTTTAAAGGACTACAGTAAACTTGAAAATCATAATTCTGTCTAAAAAACGAGTATATATTGTTACAAATAAAGCCCCTAAGACTACAATTGTTGAAAAAAACTCCTACAGTTGTTGTGATTGCTTCTCTTTTTTTGGCTGTTTACTTCCTGTGATTGACAGTGCCTTATGTATCCTCAGTTTAATATTTTCTAGTATATACTTGAAAAGGAGGAAATAGACTGACTAATAGATTCCTTTACAACATCAAGAAGAGGGGCTGAAAAACCCTCTAATGAGTATGGATAAGCTGTTTTTAATATATTCCAAAAAATACTATTTAAAGGGGGCTCTCTTTTAAACTAGCCTTAAAATCAAGCTGATAAGCCTTTAACTTAGAATAGTAAAAGGGCTCTGAGCAATTTCAAAATGAATATTAAACCACCTTACTATAGTTAGTGACAGTTGCATGCCTTACGGAAGTACTCTGTCATCCTCGCTGAGAGAGCTCCTTTAGTAGCTACTAGAGACTAGATACTGTTGTTTATTTTTTTTTCTTTTTTAGACCTATTTTTCCTTGTGTTATATACAGGCAGTCCCCGACTTACGTCGGATCCGTACTTACGAACGGGGCTTTTGTCGCCCTGGAGCTCACGGGCGGCGGGTTGCCACCCGTGTCCTCCGGGGCGAGAAAAGCTTCTCCCGCTCTCCCTGGTCTGCTGGGGGGGTCCAGCAAAGCCGCTGGAGCCCCCCAGCAGACCGGGGACACCCGAGCAAAGCTGCCGCCTGGGTGGCTTTGCTCATTTGCCTGGGAGCAAAGCCGCCCAGGCGGCGGGACCCCCGCCGCCTGGGCAGCTTTGCTCCTGTCCCCCTGGTCTGCTGGGGGGGGTCCAGCAAAGCCGCTGGAGCCCCCCAGCAGACCGGGGACACCCGAGCAAAGCTGCCGCCTGGGTGGCTTTGCTCATTTGCCTGGGAGCAAAGCCGCCCAGGCAGCGGGACCCCCGCCGCCTGGGCGGCTTTGCTCCTGTCCACCTGGTCTGCTGGGGGGGTCCAG